TTCCGTCAATCGTTTTTGCCTCATTTAATTCTTTCTGATTAAACAGATGTTGAAGACACTTATGATCAATATAAATATGACATTTAGGGGCTGTTTACTAGGTGCTGACCGGTCAGCAGTCAATTTGTTTACCGAGTTACCATTCTGACCGGAAGCTGACCGAGATGCTGACCGAATGCTGTCCGAGACCGCACGAAAATGTTGCTTACCCGAGTCAGATTTCTTCTTTCCATGCTTGCCCCTTTCACACAATTAGGTTTTCATTCTCCCCCATCGCTCCATTCCAGTCGCTCCTCCCCTCTCCCCCATCGTTCCTTCCTCCAGCCTGTCGCTCCATTCCAGTCGCTCCTCCCCTCTCCCCCATCGTTCCTTCCTCCAGCCTATAACAGGTATTTTCCCTCATAGTCGCTCACCTTTCATCCCAGTCTCATAGTCGCTTGCCCCTTTCACACAATTAGCTTCAGCCTCATAGTCGCTCGCCTTTCATCCTAGGTAATCGATTTGGGAAAAAGAAAACATAAAGAAAACATGGTGGGTATTTGAAAAAGAAGTATGAAGTATGGTGGTGTTTTAACAGAAGTATGCTGGGTATTTAAAACTCACCGTAATATAAAGAAGTATGGTGGGTAATATGGTGGGTAAGGAAATGATTAGCACTAGGGAAAAAAGGAGGTGTAGGCAATGGGCTACAGGTAAAGAGAGATGGGACATTAGGGGTCTAAAAACTTGTATATGAAAAGAAGTAAAATGATATTATTTTTATTGGTAAATATTTATTTAAAAAATAATCATATATTATTCAATATATAATTATAAATAGGGTTATAATGGTCATTATATTTTTGGTAAGTACTTACCAAAAATATTTGGTAAACAATCTTACCCGGGACAGCACTTACCCGGGTCAGCACTCTTACCCGGACAGCACTTACCTGATAAGATTTGGTAAACAGCCCCTTAGTCCCCAATAGATAATGTCTCCAAATCTTTGTTATCCATCAGATGAAGAATCAAACTTTCACAACCTATCCATTTATGTCCGATATAAACTTCATAATGTCTATAAACTGGTAAAATCTGGATTGTAGCTTACATTTTAGATACAAACAAAGGTAGAAGTTTTACTTGTAAAAGTCTTATAACTATCTGTTTGATCAAAGAACAAAACGTCTTCAACAAAATCCAAGACTAGTTGAAGTGAGGTCAAGATCGTCAACAAAACGGATTGGTTTGTCATCTAGCTGAAAGAAAATCTGTACAAGGTAAAAAGTCCACTAGTAGTTTACAAATACTACTACGGGCAAGCCAAATCTTGAAGTACAAACCCGGCCAGCACGTTTGGCTCTTCAACGAACTTGCCCCCTAATTTTTAGTATGAGAACATGTATATCATGTCAGTCTAAGCAAATACAAAGACACCATATGAATGGTACTTTGTTTGTTTTACTGTTCCCTCGACATACTAAAAGGACGAAGTAAGATAAAATATGTCTATATCAAACTCAAAGGTTGAAGCGAAGAGTACTAGGATACATGCATCAACGAACAAGAAGAAGACACGCATAAAAGTTGGACATATAGCATCAAATACAATGATGGCTATAAAAGGCCACCATTGGCATACATTGCAATTCACCCGTTTTGAAAGAATAATCCTTTATAGTGTTTCTGAAGTAAATTCGACGTCAACCTCCAAAGAACATCCCATCGGATTTGGAAGAGAACCCTTCTCCCTCCCTCTATTTCAGTTAGAAAATTTGTCACAGTCAGATTGTTTAGGATACATGTCTTACCTTCCTAACTTCCGCAACAAATTTGTAATTCTTTGTTTCTATATAAGTTATAGAGTTTAAAATCTGTTGTGTTTGTATTCAACACTCCTTCTACAAACACTTCATGTGTAAGTCATCATATTCCAAGACCAACACTTTATAATATATATATATATATATATATATATATATGAATACCATTAGTTCATAATATTAAATAATTTAAATTGATATAAAAATAAGAAAAATGATATATCAATATATAAAACACGGAAAAAACAAAAAAACTTGAAATAAAAAAGTTCCTTGGTGTGCGGTCCCTTAAACAAACCGTTATATGAATACCAGACTTAAAAAACAGTTCTTACCATCACGGCACATCTTTAATACCTTTAGTAAGTGTCTTTTACGTTATAAGCGCTTAACAAGTAAGAGGTGTTCTCCCTCACTTATCAGATAAGATTTCCGGTCCTTGTTATGCCTCTTACCAGACAAAATTCTCGAGCTTAACATGCTCAGCTTGTAAAGCGAGCAACACCTGGTAAGTACTTACTCGTTAAGAGTTTTGTAAGCAACCTTTAAATAACATTCAGTAAACACTTGCCCGATAAGTATTTTAAAAAACGATACTTTTGTGAGTGTCTAAACACCCGTAACTATCCCAAAAGAAAAAGTAGCTTTTGAAGTGCAGATTTTGCACGACAAAAACCATGACCAAAAATACTTTGACCCGACTTTTTTTGTAATAATGACACAAAACCTAAGTTTGTATCCCCAATTAATTGCACCACTTTATGCTCTTGGCTTCCCCAATTAAATGTGGTCTAATATTTTCATAAAAAAAGGCATGTTTTTAAAATTTAAATTATGTTATAAAGTATTTATCCTATATTTTTAAAATCATTTTTATTTATTTTTAATTGTTAATTATTTAGAATTATTATTAATCGTATCA